ATTACTGGGACTAATTCCCATTCTATAAAGTTTGGATGGAGTGAAGTACCACCTGTGTATTAATTTATACTGAGTAAATTTACCCCTGGCCTCTCTTATATATTTATCAGAGAATGACAAAATTCTGCGCCAGTCTTCTTTAGAAATTGCACAACCCAGATCCCTCTGCCATATAATCCTCAAGTTTTCACATATCTCTTTTTTTTGGATTGTTAAACAGTTTGTAGAAAACCACCGACCTATGTGCTGTACTGGACAATTCTAAAAACTCCACCACCATATTCAAGCTTTGAGCAAATTTTCCTTGGTAACACAATCCCTTATTTGTAAATATTTCCAAAAATTATTTTCTCTTATCAAACCGTATTTTCGGGTTATTTCAGCAAATGACATAAACACTCCCCCTGAGTAAAGATCACTTATCCTGCGTATGCCTTTGACAAGCCATTCCTTCCAGAACACAGTTTTCCGCCCAATCCGTACAGCAATATTGTTCCATAGCGAGGCATAAGGTTGTCTTAGAGAGATGTTCCACACAACTTGTGCACCTCCACCCAGACAGCTTTGGAATACCCGAGCACTGGGTTATTATGAGAGTCTTGTCCATTAGTTGCCGCTCCCTGCGAGAGAACATCCAAAGGTGTGAAGGGGCTCGCTAGTTCCATTTGGACTATTTCTAACCATCAGAAGTGCCTCACCATGTGTTTGCTTTGGTCTAAACCAGGTCTAGACCTGGAATCAGCTAATAGTGCCAGCTTAGCTCTGATGAAGCTTTTCATTTCAGAATCCCAGTAACGATGATTATCGCATTTAAAGATGCGTGACTGACTTCACTGCTTGGGTGCTGACATTCAGTAAGAGCAAGCGAAGGGGAAGCGACTGCCTTGAACGCATTGTCTACTACTCCCTCCCCCCCGCCCAATACAACTAGATGGGGGGTAGGATTTTCCCGAGGGACTCAGAGTTATTACTGTGACCTTTATTTGCCCCTTGGTTTCGACTGAACCCGGTCTGACTTGTGTGGGGGGGGGATTAGCGTGGCTGTCATATCGTCTCTCGGAGGGACAAGACACTTTGCAGTCAGCTGGGTCAGTTTGTGTTCGCAGTGACGACCGACTGTGATCCCCAGGAGGTGAACACATGCTGCGAGAGCGGCACTACATGCATATTTATGTTTGCACGCTGCACCAGTTTGTGATGATGGCCGGCAGTTGGGTGTACCATTAGGGATACTTTCTCTTTTTTTAATTACATAATCAAATTATATTAAATCAAAACTCAAATGGAAACCTCTAATTTGAGAGTTTTTAGACATTTTTGTGTTTATTACTAAAGGCATCTTCAAATAAAACGAGGAGTTTGTCTGTGGGATGCGATCTGAACCTCATTTTGTTTTCATTTGGGCAAATTGGCACCGTTAGAAGTGCGGCAGATTAGCTGTTTGCAGTCCTTGTTTACACTAGGCTCATAGACATGCAGACGGCTTTGATGCCAAAGAGAAATGATTATTCTGAGGCAAGTGCTACAGTTATGAGCCTCTCGTTTTTTTCTTTGATTTCCAGGAGATTTAAGGAGTTTTATTCACAATCGGCTTCAAAGATAATGACATCCTCTGGCAAGTGAGAGTCGCGCCAAATCTAAAAATAAGTGTATCAGTTCTGTGTGTTCAGTTTTGACTGCGAGGAGTGTCGTTTTATGCAGATTTTGGCAGCTACATTCCCAAATTCCTGAATTACCTCCGTCTGTGTCACAACCCCTGCTGTTCAGAGGCAGGGGGAATCATTTGGCACAAACTACAATCAGTAACCAGTAGCTGGTTTTAAAGCGTCTGCATGCACATTTCCTTTTAACCTCTGAGTAACTTTAGCTCATAAGTGTCCATCACAGAAGGAAAATGTGAGCTTTGCCAGCCAAAAGTTGGAAACTGGAGGAAATAAGAAGATTTTATGGACAACACTGTGCAGAATATGTTGTAGTTTTTGGAAGCTCAAGGCAAACAAACCACACAACTGTGTAGCCCTTCAATAATACAAGAGACATTAAAAGAGAGAAACGGGGGCACAGAGATTTATGAGTAGGTTTTTTGTTAACCAAGAAAAAAGACTTGAATGTTTTACAAGAGTGTCCTGGTCAACAAAGACAGTAGTACAGTCATAAATATTATAAATTAGTAGGATGTATGTCCACATTCAAATCTATACACCACTTAATTACAGGCAATGAAATACAGCAACTATCAAATTTATGACCTTCAGTGTTGCTTACTAAGTTATTCATTTTTAATCACGACTTTTATTCCAGAAACAACGGTGATAATATTCATGCAAAACATTAAAAGCCTGGAGTAACTACATCCAAGTCACTTAAAATCACCTAAAATTCATTGAGGTCAGTTCCTTCAGTTTTATTTCATTCTGCAGCCGTTTTTCCAGATTTAGTGTCAACCTTTGGGACAGAGAGAAGAAATGAGTGAAGGAGTCTTTGGGGGAGTTCAGCAAAGCAATAGATGCTGCTTTATGAACTCCAAACTGAGAAACGTTTAAGGTGATTGTGATGATGTACTGATTCTCTGGTTTCCTGTTTGTAATGTGGACAAGCATGGCATTTGTTCAAGTCATAAGCTGTAAAGCTGCATTTTTATTTTATTTATTTATTTTTCAATGGCCACCAAGGAACCAGTCATCTGGATGGGAAAAAGACTGCTGTCAGTGGGAAAAGCTTTCTTCACGAGTTTCTTAGTCTTTAATCAGAAAGGAAGAATCCTGGGGGCGTGCTGGTTGGCAAGTAGCTTGTTGGTCACAAGATGTTTGCCCATTAGTTGGGTAGCCGCCTCTGAGAGCCTCTCAGAGCCGCCTTTGACTCGATGTGAGGTGAAAACACCAAAATGGAAATGCAGAAAAAGCACCGCTGGTTTTTAAATCACTTTGTTAAACTTTATAACTTTGTTATTTGTTTTTTATGTGCACAAAAAAAAACTGGTAATGCCAACCAAATGTAACAGTTGTACATTTGATCTTGAATATATGCAGACTACTGGCTCCAGTATAACCACCATGCTGGTCTTTGGAAGTCAACGGCGACGTCACCACAGCTGTGTACCATTTATACCAGCACTGGATTATGAATTATGGGTTTCAAACTGTTGCAACGTTTCCCGCTGTATAATCTTTAAATCTAAATATCAGAGCTTCTGTGCTGATAAATAATTAAAATGGCAGCAAAAACTGAACCAACCATACCTTTTGTATATTCAGTGGCAGCAGCACAATGTGTCACGGCAAGTGAGATGAGCCGCGTGGAAGAAATAGAGGAGGATCCGAACGCAGCACTTGTAAAGTGCATGCGTTCACTCACATGAGACGCAGACCTTCACAATAAAACAGGAAACAGAAATCATTCTAAACTGAGAACAACTAAACTAGTGAACACAAAGGCAGGACTGAAATGACGGACGGACTAGCAGGGAGAACACAGATGAGCTGGGTACACACAGCAGCACTACTAATGACAGAAGACACGACTTAAATACACTCAGAGAAACACAGGGAGATTACACACAGGTGGGGGACACAGCTGGGAGTAATTAACGAGACGAGACAAGGGAGGTAAACTGAACACACTCACATGAGACGCAGACCTTCACAATAAAACAGGAAACAAGAAATCACTACACAAAGACGCAGACTCGACACTGAGAGACAGACAGAATATAACACATGGAACCTGAACTAAACTAAACGTGAGACACAACCGAAGAACAAATCCTTAAACGTGAATAAACAGAAACATGGAATTCAAATAATAACCAACAAATCACAAAGATAACAAAACGATCATTCAAGAATAAACCAAAATATAATAAACACAGAATGCTGGGTCGAACCGACCCAGAACCGTGGCAGTATGCGCCAGGTTACAAAAATCCAAAAGGTCGACAAACCCCCAGAACAATACCAAACCGATGGCTAGTGCCAGCAGAGGTGACCCTAACCCGTACAGAAGAACAGCGAGCATAATGAATCTTTCCCTTGAGGAGCAACTTGTCTCTCTTTGCTCTCTGTCCGAAAAAAGGAAGCAGACGTCATCCTTCCACCCACCAGTCTGGTGTTCGTGATAGTTTCACTCGCATGACTGTTGCGCAGTGCTGCTGTGTCATCACAGCACTGTCTCCTTTCATTTTTAAGGTTGTAAACATGGTAATCTTTTCCCATCTCTGCCTTTCAAACGGGTGCACGACGTGAGCGTGGCACCACTGTGGTTCATTAGACACTCGCCTTCACCTTGAAGTCCATATTAGTGATTTAGGCCTACAACCTGTCCGATCATCTGACTTCGTCATTGTTGAGATTTTTCCAGATGTCAAACCATTAAATTAGAGCATTATTATTAGATTTTTAACATTAAAGGAGTGTTGAGCATTCATCAGCGTCTGACAGTTTGCTGACACGTTAAAACGTCGAAACATAATCTTGTCAGCCATCACGTCGCCGCTTACTCGCTTAGATGCGATGCTGATGTGAGCCGGTTTAAATCCTTTGGTGGCATTTGCATTTATTTGTGATGCAGTTCTTACGATTCTGTGAGCTGCTGTCTTCATCTTTTTATTTAAGAGTTTCCTGCATTTGTTTTTATCATATTGACAGAGACTTAAATCATTTATGTACTTGTCAATAGTAAATGCAAATGAGAAAATGAGAGACTGGCAAGAATGAGCCCCCGGATCAGCCTGACCTCGTGGTCAAACCAAACTGCAACCGGTTTCCCAAAATAGCTCAAAGTAGAATATTTACAGCCCCTGTTTCCCCTTTTTACTAGCCAGAAAACGCCCACCCCATCACCAGCGTCTCCTCGTCAGCACATACCCTAAAGGCTCTTTGTGATTTGGAAAATAATTTTCTCTACTGTGGTTTCTTGGTTTCTGGATCTTTTTTTTTTCTTCTTTTCCAGCTCCCTTTAAAGTAATCTTCATGCATCCATGTTGTTTCTCTTTGTCGTTGCAGAGGCTCATGTGCAGAAGCACAGCCTGCAGACGGCGCAGAACCTCCTGCAAGAAGAGGTGGCACGTGCAGAGGAGCATTCAGAGGTAAAAACACACAGACGCGCAAAAGCTGTGAAAACTGAGCTGGTTTCTCTTGTTCTTGCAGAGAATCAAACAGTCTTTCATCACGTTGGCAGCACTCTTGCGGCTGCCTCTCAAAAGCCTTTAGTCTAGCTGACAGCCCACCCTCTTCTGTACAGTCTGATCTCGAAAGCCACGAGGCATGCTGTACATACAGTGAGCTCTACCCACTTCACCAGAGCAGCCTCAGCAGCGATGCCCCCACGTACACGTGTTTAGTCAGCACTGCATTCAAACTGCTGCCTCTCTGTTAATTGCCCTTTTTCTGCAATAGCTACCAAGTGTCCTTGCACCATTGAATTCTGAAGACAGGGCTCAAATCCATTTAGCTGCAGGCAGAAAGGAGGGAAGAAGCACAATATCCTAGATGAGAAAAGACACAGAATTTAGCTCAACATAGATCAATGTGAAGATTAATGTGAGGCTTCAGAAAGCGATTAAGGAAAGACAGAAAATGTTTTTATCTTTCCAGACTTTTCTCCCGACCCTCTTGTTTATCCTAACCTGACTGTCATAGACTAGAATATGCAGTCCATGCCACTGCAAAACAGGTGTTGTCTCGATCCCTTTCTGGAGATTTGCAGAGATTTCTTTTTTAAGTTAAGGATTAAGAAAACAGAGCAGACATGTCTGCAGGAGACGTACAGGTCTGTCTCACCTCAGTCCATCACAAATATACACCTAAACCTATCATGTATGATCACTGGCCACTTTACTGGGTACACCTTTAGCATCTTTTCCAATCACCTCAATGTCAACCCTTGTCGTGTTGTTTGTGTCGCATAAAAATTACATCACAGGACTTTTGGGCCACCCACATCGAGGTGGCACTAAATTGTAATGGAAAACATCCAAAACTCAAACACTGCTAGTGGAAAAGAAGCATGTGATAGTAACGTGTTGTGTTCAGAATTGCCTTAATTAAGGCTACGTTCACACTGCAGGCGAAAGCGCATCAAATCCGATTTTTTTGACCCTATGCGACCCATATCCGATCATGGTATGACAGTGTGAACGGCACAAATCCGATATTTTCAAATCCGATCTGGGTCACTTTCGTATGTGGTACTGAATCCGATACATATCCGATGTTTTAGAAAGCGACTGCTGTTTGAACGGTCATGTCGCATTAAATCCGTCTTTTACGTCACTGACACAAGACAGACGCCAATTATCAGCTCCGGAGAAGCCCCGAGAAGACATCGCGAACGCTTCCTGGCCATCCAGGTAGATGTTAGTGAAACTGTTGGGAAGACAACGTTGGAGAAACGTGAACATTTTATTTGTACTGTATAATCTGCAGATTCTGACAGAAATCTGCAACTATCCTTTGAAGCACCGCTCCTCTAAAACAGCAATAAGGATCATTATTAGGTTATTTACATTATTATGTAAATAACAAAATAACTTAAAGCAAAAATTGGGAAACGTAAAGTCCGAAGTCTTTATATTAAGGGCCATCAGTCAAACAATATGTTTGCTCTGGGTCTAAACAGAGCGCGTTGTGTGTGACGTCTTCTTTTGCGCATGCGGGCCGCTTTGAGCGTTACACTGAGGGTTGTGTGCATTTTATTTGTAGTGTGAACAAGCAGACAAAAAAAATCGGATTTGATCAAAAAATCGGAATTGAGCATCAAGACCTGCAGTGTGAACGTAGCCTTAGATTCAACAAGGTGCTGGTAACATTTCTCAGATTTTGGTCCACATGGACACGATAGCATCGTACAGATTTGTCAGCTGCACATCCATGATGTGAATCTCCTGTTCCCCTACATCCCAGAGGTGCTCTGTTGGATTGAGCTCTTGTGACTGTGGAGTCCATTTCAGTACAGACAACTAATTATGATGTTAAGAAACCAATGTGAGATGATCTGAGCTTTATCACATGGCATGCTATCCTGCTGGAAGCAGCCATCAGAAGATGGGAACACTGTGGTTAAAAGGTTGGACATGTTCAGCAGTAGTACTCGAGTAGGCTGTGGTTTTTAAACAATGCTCAACTGATACTGAAGGGCAGAACGTGTGTCAATAAAATATCCCCAGTGTTCTGTCTCCTCCAGTTCTAGTGAGCCTGTGTGAACTGCAGCATCAGCTTTCTGTTCTTCACTGACAGCAGTGGCACTCGTGTGGTCTTCTGCTGCTGTAACCCATCTGCAAGTTTTGACATGTTGTGCATTCAGAGATGTAGTTACTCAAGTGTTTATGAGTTCATGTTGCCTTTCCCTGCACAGAAAGTCCCAGTAAATCAGCCAATCACCAATAACCTTTCTGATGTTCAGTTTAAACTTGAGCAGGTCGCCATGTTATTGGCTGATTAGATATTTGCATGAGCAATGAAGAGATGTACCTAATGAAGTGACCAGTGAGTGTACGTCTGTTCCAAACATAAGGGATCAATCTCATTAATTGCCAAAAAGTTGATGCTCCTTCCTACTTAATTCCTTACTATGCGTGGCCAAATCCTATGACTCACTAAAATGTAAATAGTTTCCAAATAACTCTAAATTCCCTCTGTGTTGGTGGGGTGATCCCAAACAGCTGCCTGTTGACTTTAAAAGGAGAAATGGGCTGTCTTGTAAATTAAACTTGATAAAAATTTGTAAGTAAAAACTTTAGTTTAAAAGATTCGCCACATCCAAACAAACCACACACGCCTGCATGAGCCGCAGAAATGAGACTGACAACAATGTTTTTGGATCACAGCAGCTCAGGACACTCCACAGCTACAACTGTCTGTAATTGATTGTCCACTAGAATATAATTTAGCCAGTGCCTTTGATTTGTTCTGCAGGAATAAACAAGGCTGTGAATGGATGATCAGGATGAGCTCATCACTGTAGTAAATAATACCTGCATGTAGGCCTGTACTGTGTAATTCCCATCATCCACTAGCATGACAAATATCCACAGCCCAGTGAGCACGTTCAGCTCATCCCATCTTCATGACTGTCCAATTTAAGATGATTACTAAACAGCGGACAGTGCCGTGCATGTGCTGGGTAGATTTTTGGAGTCGTACTTCTCTCGCCTGCCTGGCCGGCTCATCGTGGATTAGTGGAGGATTTTTCACAGGCAGTGTTTATCAACAGCACATCGGTCATTTTTTAAAGCCCAACTGGAATTAAACTGACAGGCTTATTCTGCTTTACGCACACAATTCGAATGGGGAAGAAATAGCTGGACAATCGGCAGACAGTTTACGTAGAGGCAGAGGAAAAGAGAGCTAAAGCGGCTCATTTTAGATGGAGGATATAGCTTGAATACGTAGAATAATATAGTAAGGTAAAGAGTGAGAAGCTGCATCAAAGTACAGTATGAGGTAAATAAGGATTAGTTTGAGGTATGAGTTACCAGCTGCACTGGTATACCAGTGATAATCTCATGCATTATAGAAATTTATTCTAATACAGTAATACACCATAAAACCAGCCATGCGTGCATTTTCTGATTCATATCTGGGTCTGGGCTGTGTGGGCAGCAGTCCCAGCAGAAAGGCCCAGACCTCTTCCTCCAGCACTTCGGAGGTATTCCCAAACCAGCCAAGAGACATAATCTCTCCAGTTTATCCCGGGTTTACCCCGGGTTTCCTCTTGGTACGACATGCCCAAAACACGTCAGCTGGCTCCTGTCAGTGTGGAAGGCTTTTCAACAACTTCATATGCACTGCTCAAAGAAACTTAAAGGAACACTTTTTAATCATGTTTCATTTCCATCAAACAATATGGCATCCTTTCCTTCCTAATACATTATCGAGTACGTATCAGTGTAGATATCAGCGTGATTTTTTTTTTTAATTGCGATGTGATGTTTTCAAAGTGTTCCTTAATTTTTTTTTGAGCAGTGTATTTGGATTCTCATCTTATTTCACCAAACAGAGTCAAACTGATTTTTAAAAAAAAGGTTTTCTAGCTCTTCTGGTTGCTGTTTAGTTGGAGGCTTGCTTTTCCTTTCCCCTTCACTTAGTGTGAAATTAATGACCAAATCTTTGATTATATGACTGGTATTGGTCTTTTCTTTTAAAGATCTTACTTTACTTGTAGCGCCTAAACATTTGCACAATCCTGTATAAACTATGAGTGCTTGGAGTATCCAAAGTGTGCTCTGTGTAAACATAAAACACTTATAAGTAGACTGGAGGAAGGCCTTTGCTGGAATAAAGCATCAGCAGCGATGTTTTGACATTTATCTTTGTCATGGTGTGCAGCACATACACAACGTGCCACGATAACACAGCGGTCCTGTTTAAATCCTGCACGCTCCTCTGGCCTCAATCAGGACTCTGAGAGAGTCTCATCCCCACCTTCAAACCCACACGTCTGCACCCGGCTCAGATTGATCCGCCCAGCACGCCTCCCTCCCCCATCTCGTGTGGCTGCAATCAATACCAGCACGACTCAGTCATTGGATCGGCTGCTTGCTGATTGATTAAGCAACACCCAGCACAAACCAAGCAGCCTCACTGAATGAAAAAGCACACCTGAGAGCAGACACATTGGTAAACATCCCGGTCTGCTGCTTTACAAACAGCCTCAGAACAGCTTCAGCTGACGGGATTTTAAACTATTTGGCGACACATGAAAGAATTTGTAAAAATATTCAAGTCGGCATTTAATAAAAGTTGTACAGTTTACTGGGCTCGAATCCATACACATGAAGCTGTTTTATGTCTCCACGGCTATCTGTGTGGATTCATTTCAGATTAAGCCCTCACAGAGCGGTCGGTTCAGTGGGAAGCCATCTTGATTTTCATGGTCGTTCGTCAGGAGAGCTGACATCAGATACAGCTGTTTCCCAACATCATCTCTCAGATTAATTCACACTAGTCTCTCTGTGGCCTTAAAACTTCTCAAAGCTTTTTTTTTTTTTCTTGGCCACCATGACAAACGGATCCCAGCCCTCGAAGACTCTGCACAGCATCATCTTCTTATTTTGTCGCCTTAAGTCAAACATTCTTCCATATAGGG